AAAAAAAAAAAAAAAAAAAAAAGATTTTATTTTTAAGTAATCTCTGCACCTAATGTGGGGCTCAAACTTACAACCCTGTGACCAAGAGTCTCATGCCCTACTGAGTCAGCTAGGCGCCCCAGAAGTTAATTTTCTTTTCTTTTATTCCTCCGACTTATTTTGAAAAATTTTGAAATAAAATACCTTTCACCTAAATCCATCAACTGTTAACATTTTTCTACATATGCATACACTGTGTATGTGTATACACACAATTTTTTTGCACACGCACAAATTTTTGATGAAATATTTGAAAATTACAGACATCAAGACCCTTCACTACTAAATACTTCTGCATGTATCTCCCAAGAACAAGAACATTCTCCTACATAACCACTATCAAGTGCCAAAAAATTAAAGACTGATATAAAAATATCTAACATAACAGTCTATATTTGAATTTGCTTAATTGTTGAAATAATGCAATTTATGGAATTATGTTGCTGGATAGAGAAATCAATCAAGCATTATGGATGACATTAGTTGTCATATCCATTAGTCTCCTTTAATCTAGAACTAAATAATTCCCCTGACTTGTTTCATGATGTTGACATTTTAGAAAAGTTTAGACACTCATTTTGGACAATGTCCCACACTTTGAACTTGTCTGTTTCTTTACCATTAGATTCAGGTTAAACACTATTGTCAAGAACACAGGATGTGCCTGGCTCAATGCATCAGGAGTCACATAATGAGATGTTACCATTATTGGTTGTTAAATTCCATCAGTTGGTTAAGGCAATAATCCCAGCTTTCTCTATTATAAATGTGTTTTTCCTTTTGTAATTAACAAATAATCCACAGGGAAATATTTTGAGACTGTATGATTATCCCAATAAGTTTTCAACCAATGGCTTAGCATTAATTGGTAATCGTTGACTGAATCAATTATTGCATTTTGCAAAATGTTTTACCAAAAATGCTTTTTCTTGGCAAAATAAAATATTAACAGCCTTATGTCATTCACCTCACTGATGTGTATACATTCCTCCCTAACCAATCTATGGTTAACACATTCCTCATCCTCTCAGTGATGCTTTTTACAAACCACCTTTCCATCTATAGTTTTTATTATTTCTTTACATATTATTATACACACAGTTTGAAAAACAGCAATTTTACTTTAACATAGTAAGGCCACACTTTTCTAATCCATGCCTTTAGCTACCCTATTCCCGGGTGAATTAATGGAATGCTTCCCCCATCACAGGATCTCACTTCTTTTTATTTTTTTTAAGTAATCTCTACACCCAACATGGGGCTCAAACTCACAGCCCTAAGATCAAGAGTCACCTGCTCTACCAACTGAGCCAGCCAGGTGTGCCGCACTTTTTTTAAATTTAATTTATTTTTAAGTATTCTCTATGCCCAACACAGGGCTTGAGCTCATGACCCCAGTATCAACAGTCACATGCTCCATTGAGTGAGCCAGCCAGGTGCCCCAAAATCTCACTTCTTGAAAGCCTACTAATCTCCAAGATTCATCTTAAAAGGCACCTCACTGTGAAATCTTCCTCAATCCAACCAAACTAGAGATGTAATTCCTCCTTCCTTTGAACCCCACAGAATTTTACTGATGGTATTTCTTATGCCTTTTACCTTATTCTTATAAGGTACAGGCTTTTAGGTGGACTTACATTTTCATTTCTGTTGGGTAAGCGGAATTATTGGATCATAGGATAAATATATATTTATATGAAAATGCTAAACTTTTTCAAAGTGACTGTACCATTTGCATTCTCACTAGCCATGTGGGAAAGCTCTATTTGTTCCACATATTTGTGTTCAGAAAAGAGTTATGTATGAAAGTTAAGGACACTGCTTGTATGTTAAACTGAATAACTATATATCACTCTAAAATAGTATAAGCAACATTCAACTTTGGAGTCAGAAGACTTGAGTTTAGCTTTGCCATTTATTAGGAGAAGTTGCTTTCCCTCACTTGGCCTGTTTCCTCATTTGAGGAGGTGGTTTTTTTTCTTTTTAAGATTTTATTTGTCAGAGGGAGAGAGAGAGCGAGAACACAAGCATGGGGAGCGGCATGCAGAGGGAGAAGCAGGCTCCTCCCCGCTGAGCAAGGAGCCTGATGCAGGGCTCGATCCCAGGACCCTGGGATAATGACCCGAGCTGAAGGCAGACGCTTAACTGCCTGAGCCACCCAGGCACCCCTTGAGGAGTTTTAAGTAGATGATCTCTAAGGTCCTTTTAAATTTAACATTCTATCATTCCAATTTAATTAAGGGATTTCGGGATAAGGGGGCTTGCCGAGGAAGGAAGGGAAGTAAGGTCCACCTATTGCTTAGGAATACTGAGGGATAAAGACTAATGTAAGAAAATGGTTACCTAAGACAGTGGTCATAACATTTGTAATGCTTAAGATAGCCAACTTCCATGCAGGCTGAAGCATTTATAGGAATATTTATAGGAACATTTATAAATAGGAAATTAGGAAGCAGAGAGGATAAACTATGTTCATATGATGAACTATTACTCAGCAATAAAAAGGAATAAACTAGTGATGCATGCAGTCTGGATGAATCTCAAATACTCAACATTGAGTAAAAAGGAGCCCTACAGAGAGGAGTACACACTGTATGATTCCATTTATATAAAAGTCTAGAACAGGGGCGCCTGGCTGGTTCAATTGGAAGAGCATGCGACTCTTGATCTCAGCATCCTGAGTTTGAGCCCCATGTTGAGTGTAGAGATTATTAAAAATAAATAAACTTAAAAAAAGTCTAGGGCGCCTGGGTGGCTCAGTTGGTTAAGCAACTGCCTTCGGCTCAGGTCATGATCCTGGAGTCCCGGGATCGAGTCCCACATCAGGCTCCCTGCTCAGTGGGGATTCTGCTTCTCTCTCTGACCTTCTTCCCTCTTGTGCTCTCTATCTCTCATTCTCTCTCTCTCTCTCAAGTAAATAAATAAAATCTTTAAAAAAAAAAGTCTAGAATTGGCAAGTTGTGGTTGTTTCTAGGGGTGAGGCGGGGGCAGGAATTGACTGGGAAGAAGCATAATAGAACTTTCTAAGGAGAATATGACGTTCTGTATCTTGCATTTGTCAAAACACTAGCAAATGTATGTAAGATTTGTACATTTATACAAATTGCATGTGAATTTTACATTAGAAGGAAAAAATCTATAATTAATCGTTGAACTTTAGTTAATCTGCATGCTAAGGGAGTTAAGGTAAAGTGTAGTGGTATCTGCAATTTATTTTTTTTAAAAGATTTTATTTATTTATTTGACAGAGGGAAAGAGAGCACAAGCAGGGGGAGCAGGCAGAGGGAGAGGGAGAAGCAGGCTCCCTACAGAGCAGGGAGCCTGATGCAGGGCTTGATCCCAGGACCCTGGGGTCATGACTTGAGCTGAAGGCAACTGCTTAACTGTCTGAACCACCCAGGTGCCCCATGCAATTTACTTTAAAATGCATCAAAATTGGGGCACCTGGGCGGTTCAGTCAGTTGAGCGTCCGACTCTTGGTTTCGGCTCATGTCATGACCTTAGGGTCCTGGGATCGAGCCCCATGTTGGGCTCTGCACCCAGGAGGGAGTTTGCTGGAGATCTTCCCCTATCATGCGCGCACGCGCACATGCACGCTTTCTCTCTTCCTAAAAATAAATAATCTCTTTTTAAAAATTAAAAAAAAACTTTAAAATGCATCAAAATTAAGATGGATAAAATAAGATGGATTAGTAAGATGGATGGTAAGTGATAGATAAGTAATAAAGCAAGTTCAGTAAATGCTAGAATTTAGGGGGTGAATGGTTAAGTGATAAGTAATAAAGCAAGTTCAGTAAATTCTAGAATTTAGGGGGTGAGTGTACAAGTGTTCACTGTAAAATTCTTTCAACACTGTTGTAGGTTTTCAACACTTCCCAATAAGTGGAAAAACATTCTAAAAAATTAAAAAACAAGAACTGGAGACTTCTAGATAAAGTAAGTTGACTTTTGGAAAAGCAGCAAAGGTAACATGGTAAAGGCTCACATGGACTTATTCCTTCCAGGTCAGGTAGTTAAGGCCAATAAGGATTATAGGACTGCTCCGAATAGTATGCAAGAAAGATAAGATTATCCCTGTCTCAAATGATGACAGCTGGAAAGTCCATATGCTTGTTCTCCCATACTCTGGCAGATAAAGCACAAAAATGTGACCTAATATTTTGTCTGGCATTTTTGACATTAATACAATATCCAAGTGCATAATCAGTGGATTCAAAAAAAAAAAAAATCAGTGGATTCATCTCACTGAACAGGGTAAAAGCCAGTTTGGGCATTATAGAACCTTCACGGTAAGCAAGAGCTATGTATAATCATGTGGTAAGATCACATTAAACTGTATACTTTAGGTTTGTCAGTTAACCCAAAAGTGCATAAAATCCCCAATTCATTTCTTTTCACCAAGAGATAGTAGAAATGTAATATAATGTTACAGGATAAATTGTTAGAACTGGCTTCTGATGAAGACCGAAGATGACTTTTTTTTTTTAAGATGACTTTTGGCATCATCTGCTTCATTATGAACAAAGTTAAAAATAGGCCCCAACTTGCTCAAATTGTTATATAACCTCATCTTTCATTCCTACCAACACAACAGTGGGAGGTTAGTATCAACTATGATGTTATTAAAACAAAACACAGAAACAATTTAGATACACATTATCCCCTGTGAGGGACTGTGTCACCTAATCTAGATTGATTAAGAAGGAAAATCACTTGTTACATTATAAACCTTAAATACTGATATACACAATGTTCTGAGTGTGCACAAAGATAGCTAATATGAGGAATCACTCTTTCACTTCTAATTTTTGATTTATTTATGATTAGAAAATGACTAAAAAGTTACAAGTGTAATAGGGATTCTGTATTACCTACACACATATTTTTAAAGAATAATACATATAACTTTTCTTATTTAAATTTTTGTTTCTTTTGATTAAATTTACTGAAATATATGTTAAGTCTGTCAAACTCAATACTAAATATTTGGGCTTGTATTTTGTATGTCCTGTCCCCCCCCATTTCATTTTACTGGTAATTCATTTTTAGTGTTCTACAAAAGTATCAATCTGCAAATGGTTGGACATGAAGAATACTGGTTCTTCAAAGAAAGTCTCAGAGGAACTGGTATGGGTCTCATTCTGGCAGCGTGCTGCAGAATCGAGCTGTGATGGAAGAGTAGTAGTACCACTCACAGGAACCTCATGGAAAGTGATCTTGGCTGTCTTAGGCCACTGAGCTCGTGTTGTTTTTGCTCATTTTAAGAATCTCCAGCCTTGAGTGCCTGGGTGGCTCAGTTGGTTAAGCATCTGCCTTTGGCTCAAGTCATGGTCCCAGAGTCCTGGCATCGAGTCCCGCATCAGGCTCCCTGCTCAGCGGGCAGCCTGCTTCTCCCTCTGCCCTTCACCCTGCTTGTGCTCTCGCTCGCTATTTCTCTTTCAAATAAATAAATAAAATCTTTTTTTTTTAAAGATTTTTTATTTATTTATTCAACAGAGGGAGACAGTGAGAGAGGGAACACAAGCAAGAGGAGTGGGAGAGGGAGAAGCAGGCTTCCCGCTGAGCAGGGAGCCCGATGCGGGGCTCGATCCCAGGACCCTGGGATCATGACCTGAGCTGAAGGCAGACGCTTAACGACTGAGCCACCCAGGTGCCCCAAATAAATAAAATCTTAAAAAAAAAAAAAGGAATCTCCAGCCTTTCCACGGATTCTACAAGCTATGTGACTGCTTTCTAACTTTCTTCTTAAACACAATCAGTTTCGTGATATGCAACTAAGAACTGCAACTGGTACATACTTTTTTGTCTACTCCTTTTGCTTTGTTGATCTTTATTGCTCAGTCTGCACTTCCCCATGTGAAATAACCAGCTGCAACTCCTTCACCTCTCCCTTCCCACCCTAAGCTGCAGGTTTCATTTCTGCTTTAGTGTGGCAAAATGTTCCTGGTTCCCTGTGTTTTACAACAAAAATAACGTTAAAAGGGCGAGTCTGCTCTTAGTCCAGCTGTATTATAACTTAAATAATAGTAAATATTGGGTACTTACGTGCCATGTACAATACTAGGTGTTATGCCTCATTTAAATACTATGACAAAACTCTATGCAAGATAGCAATACTCCCATTTTATAGATGAGGAAACTAAGAGTCAGAGAGGTTAGATAACTTTATCAAGGTTATATTGTTAATACAAAGCAGAGATAAAACTCAATTCCAAAAGCATATAATCACTTGAGAAGCCAAATATATTGGAATGTTTGGAAAATAACCCATCTGTGATCCAGGGACAGCTTAACTTTATCTGAGATGGACCACCTATGTTACCTTCTGGCTCTTACCTGTTAGCTTAGTGAAGGCTTCCATGTCATCAATCGCTGTAGAAATGTGATACTTTTTTCCTTCAGCACCTGTAATCTCTATGTAGGGGTCTGCTTTGAGGAAAGCATCTGTAATCCTAAAGATCATTTCATAAAAATTTATGCTTATGAGAAAATTGAGTATTTGCTTAATGCCATGCTTAAAGAAATCTTTCTACTTCAAAGAAGTAAAATCCTGAGACATGATGTTCTAAAGACAACTGTTTTTGGATCATACATAAAGGCATAAATAAGCACATGGTGATTTGTGAGCTACCATGTTTACTGGGATCCAGGCATTATGTAGGGCTTTGGATATATTATCTTATTTAATCTTTCCAACAAGATAGACGTAATCAGCCTCCATTTTATAGATGCAGAAATGAAGTATTTTCGTTTAACCAAGTTGGGAAGAAGCAATACCAGGCTTTGAACCTAGATCTCTCTGAACTCTCTGAATTAAAAACAAACAAAAACTTCTTATCAAAGGAACAACCATACAAATGCGTGGATGTATTCTAACTAGTCTGCTCATGTCAGTTTAGAACTATTTCAGAGACATGGAATTAACTCACGCTCTGCTTTTGAGAACTCTTTGTGGGTCTTTGACTCTCAGAGAGATGTATGGACTGTACTTTTATCTGTACTTGGCCGAACTTTTCTGCTATGGTTCTCACTAGGTCAGGGAGAAGAGGTGAAATTCCTATCGGCTTCACTATTTTCCACTAATTTTGACAAATAACTGACGGGGTGAGGACAGACATTAATCTTCATCCTTAAAATTAATTTTTTGTCATTAGTTTTAGAGTGTCAATTATTCACGTCTTATCTCTCACCTTGATACTAACATCTGGCACAGAAGCAACTAGCTCTGGGGAGGGTCTAAGCCATGCCTCTTCATGTCTAGTTGAAGCCAACTCTTCCACCCTTCATCTATCCCCTTTATTCAGTCTCCTCCCTTTACTTTATGCTAGTTTTTTGTTGTATTAAGGGAACCATTTTAGATTTATTCATTTAAAATTCACTTGAATTCACCTAGAAATCTCAACTTGACCCAAGAATGGATCTAACAAAGCATCATAAAAAATTTTATAGAGAAATAGCAGTCGAATTTCTTACATCGTATCAATGATGTTGCCAACTTTGTGTTGATAAGCTCTGCGGTGCAAAGAGTTGCGAGTATGGAACATGTCATACAGATTCCCAACCTCCTGCAGGAAAACATGAAATAAATATTATTGCAGGGTCAGGTTATGTTACCCTTGTTAGGAGACAAGTACATAGGACAAGGAAAAGAGACGGTGACAGACAAGAAGACTATGCACAGGAGCTACCTCATTAAAATCCCTGAGTCCATTAAAAAACTACAAGGCAGGTTAGGAAAACCATTTCTTCTGGGTTTGCAACTTTTCTCCTTCTTCTTCTTTTTTTTTAAGACTTTATTTATTTATTTGTCAGAGAGAGAGCAAGCACAAGCAGCGGGAGCTGCAGGCAGAGGGAGAGGGAGAAGCAGGCTTCCCGCCGAGCAGGGAGCCCGATGTGGGACTCGATCCCAGGACCCTGGGATCATGACCTGAGCCGAAGGCAAACGTTTAACCGACTGAGCCACCCAGGCGTCCCTCAACTTTTCTTCTTAATCTATTGTTTTAACTCTGTAGCAGGTTCTGTTTTAGGCATCTTCAATATGTTTTTTAATCTTCTCAACAAGTCTAGAAGTTAGGCATTCTTCTTCTTATATTCTTTATTCTCAAAAGACTTTTTTTTTTTTTTTAAGACTTATTTGTCAGAGAGAGACAGAGTACAAGCAGAGGGAGCGGCAGGCAGAGGGAGAAGCAGGCTCCCCGCTGAGAAAGGAGCCCAATGCATTCTTGATCCCAGGACTCTGGGATCACGACCTGAGCCAAAGGCAGATGCTTAACCAACTAAGCCACCCCGGCGCCCAAAGAAAGACTTTCTATAGTACAATCCCATACTACTCTTTAGTTACATGACTCTAATCTAGCAGGGACCTAATGATTTAGTATTTTACCTATTATGAAACACTAACATAGATCACTAATTATGGTTAAGGATGAGACTTGAGTCAAACTTTCTGGGCTGAAACTCCAGTTCTGCCATTTATTAACTATATGTCTTCTCTGTGCTTCAGTTTGCTCACCTATTAAGTGGCATAAAAATAGTATCTATTTCATAGGGTTGTGAGGACCAAGTTAATCCACCTAAAGCACTTAGAACAGTGCCCAGCACAATACTCAATAAATGTCTGTTGTAATTTTGCAGAAGTGAAAAGAACTTTTAGATACTTACAAGTGCTAAGTGTAAAGTAAAATGATTGACAATTTACCAGGTTGTGATTTTTCCAAATTATTGAATGATTACTTCTAGACTTGGAACTAGGAACTACACCTTCCTTATTGTTCCTCTGACATAACTCACCTTATCTCTAGTACAAATACGCTTCCTATTATCTACTTCACAGACACGGGCAAATTTAATAAAGCGCTGGTAATCAAAATTATTTTGGATTCCAAGATGATGGCAGTCCCTGGAAAGATTCCAAAGCAGAGAGATGAAATTTTTCAATGAGGAAACTGTACCTTAAATATTAACACTAAATGTACACAAGAATTTCATTTTTTATTTAAGTAAAAATTAATATATTTAAAGCATGTAAGGATTTTAACCAATTTTTCTGAAGTGTTCAGAGCATACCTGGCAAAATAATCCCATTTGTCCACATCGATGCCATTTCTTTTATTGGCCACTATCTCATAAAGGAAGCTTTTCTCTTTAGGACGCCCTTTATATGGCCACTGGAAGACAAGAAAACTCACCAAAGTTTTAGGATATGAACCATATCTATTTACAAGCAAAGCAAAGCAACTGTGTTCACCTAAAAATCATAAACAGATACTTGAATGGGAATGTGAGATAACTTAGAAGGTTCTACTCTTTCCTTCTTCCACTTAATTTCTAAACTAGTAGAAAAGGTTAAAGAAATGCTAAGGTATGTGATATCCTGTTAATACTAAACCTTGTGCCATTGAAAGGATCTTAACTCGAGGTGCCTGGGTAGCTCAGATGGTTAAGCCTCTGCCTTCGGCTCAGGTCGTGATCCCAGGGTCCTGGGATCGAGTCCCATATCCGGCTCCATGCTCAGCGGAGAGCCTGCTTCTCCCTCTGCCTCTGCACCTCCCCCTGCTCATGCTCTCTCTCTCTCTGTCTCAAATGAATAAATAAAAAAAAAATCTTAAAAAAAAAAAAGGGATCCTAACTCATTACATTTCTCATAACCAACAAGCTTTCTTCTTTTCTTGGCTTAAAAGTTTCTTTAAAATATAAAATCTCGGGGCACCTGGGTGGCTCAGTCGTTAAGTGTCTGCCTTCGGCTTAGGTCATGATCCCAGGGTCCTGGGATCGAGCCCCACATCAGGCTCCCTGCTCAGCGGGAAGCCTGCTTCTCCTTCTCCCACTCCCCCTGCTTGTGTTCCTTCTCTCGCTGTGTCTCTCTCTGTCAAATAAATAAATAAAATCTTAAAAAAAATAAAATAAAATATAAAATCTAGGGGCGCCTGGGTGGCTCAGTCGTTAGGCATCTGCCTTCGGCTCGGGTCATGATCCCAGGGTCCTGGGATAGAGCCCCACATCGGGCTCCCTGCTCCACGGGAGGCCTGCTTCTCCCTCTCCCACTCCCCCTGCTTGTGTGTTCCCCTCTCTGGCTCTCTTTCTGTCAAATAATAAAATCTTAAAATAAAATAAAATAAATAAAATAAAATATAAAATCTAATCATAAATTGGTAAGAATGTCCCTCATATGCTAATGCTTGAATTCATGCATGAAACTAGTATTATCATTCAAAGTAGTTACACATCTAGTCTAAATGAAATGTACTGTTCAAAGAATTTTGGGGGCACCTGGGTGGCTCAGTCAGTTAAGCAGCTGCCTTCAGCTCAGGTCATGAACCCAGGGTCCTGGGATCGAGCCCCACATCGGGCTCCCTGCTCAGCGGGGAGACTCCTATTCCTGCTCCCTCAGCAGCTCCCCCCCCCCGTTTACGCTCTCTGTCAAATAAATAAATGAAATCTTAAAAAAAATTTTTTTTGAAGCTCCCATATTTTGGAAATAGAGTATTTGCTTCAAAATCCAGCTCTTCATCTTATATCTTACAAATAAATTTGTATATTTATTCAAGGAAAAAAAACTTAGAGGGAAATTATTTTTCAACTTCTTTTTTATTATTTTTTTAAAGTATTTTATTTATTTATTTGAGAGAGAGTGAGCATGAGCAGGAGGAGAGGCAGAGGAAGAAGCAGACTCCCTGCTGAGCAGGGAGCCCCAGGTGGGGCTTGATCTCAGAACCCTGGGATCATGACCTGAGCGGAAGGCAGATGCTTAACCAAGTGAGCCACCCAGGTGCCCCATTAATCTGTCCATCTGTCTGTCTGTCTGTCTGTCTATCTATCATTTATCTATCTATCGGGGGGCGGGCAGATGGAGAAGGAGAGAGAGAATCCCAAGTAGGCTCCATGCTCAGCACAGAGCCTGACATGGGGCTCAATCTCAGAACCCTGAGATCATGACCTGAGCCAAAACCAAGAGTTGGACACTTAATCAACCATGGCACCCAGGCGCCCCTTAACTTCTTTTTAATTCAAACAAACAAACAAACAAAAAAAACAAAAGAGATTTTCCTTTGAACTATTCAACTTTTTTTCTAGGTCTTCATATATCTAAATATTTCAGATGCTATTTTTTTTATCATTTTATTTTTTTCTCTTTTTAAATTTCCTTTTCTGAGTCCTGCCCCCTCTCATTTTTCCCTCCCCCCAACTTCCCATTCCCTCACACCTTTCCCCCCAGCACTCAAACATGTTAATTTTAATGGGGAAACAAGACACATACTTTTACATTTTCCAAATGATATTACCTCCGACTCCTATATAGAATACTGCATATCTATTCACCAAAAAATATTTACATAGGTATTTTAATTTGGGGGGTAACCTCTAAAGATCTCAGTTAAGAGATTAAAAAAATAGATAAGCCTTTCATTTTTTTGGTATTAAACAGTAGAAACATATAATGTATTTTATCATTTAGTCTCCTTAAAATAGCCAAATGTCTCTCTTCATATAGCTCTGAAGAAAACTAGAAGAGACTAGACGGGAAACACAGTCAATTCAAATTAAGTTGTACACAAACTTACCGAAGAATCTTTGATTGGTGATTCAAGTGGTCCTGTAATTTGTTCCTTGATAAAGCAAATGTCTTCTTCAGGGATGAGACCATAGTATTCCATGACTTCTTTGAGTCCATTAGAGTTAACTAGGTGCTCAAACATCATCACTGAGCCCTGTTCATGCTAGGAAAAGTCAACACAATATGGTCTGTTATAGACTCTAGTACATTAGGGACCCCAGATAATCCAAATTATTCTTGATTCCAGGTAATTCAAAGATAAATTTCTACTGCCTGTTAATTATCTAGCTTTCAGCTACTGTCTTGCAGATATTTTTTTTTTTAAGTAGACTACACACCCAGCATGGAGCCCAATGCAGGGCTTTACCTCAGGATCCTGAGATTGAGACCTGAGCTAAGATCAAGAGTCAGATGCCTCACCGACTGAGTACCCAGGCATCCCTTGCAGATATTTTTTAAAAATCTGTCAAATTTGTCTCTATTTTACTACCAATAAGCCTTTTACGTATCATGTTCATCATTATTTCATAAATATATTTAACGTGGGGCACCTGGGTGGCTCAGTCGGTTAAGCGTCTGCCTTCGGCTCAGGTCATGATCCCAGGGTCTTGGGATCCAGTCCCGCTTCAGGCTCCCTGCTCAGCGGAGAGCCTGCTTCTCCCTCTGCCTGCCTGCCTGCCACTCCCCCTGCTTGTGCACTTGTGTGCTCTCTCTCTCTCTCACTCTGTCAAATAAATAAATAAAATTTTTTTAAAAAATAAATATATTTAATGAGATATAATCATTTACAGTACAGACGTACTGCACAGTACGGTACAGAAGAATATTACCGGTCATACAGGTAGAATCACTATAAAATTCAGTTCAACTGGGGTGCCTGGCTGGCTCAGTCAGTGGAGCATGAGACCCTTGATCTCGGATCGTGAGTTCAAGCCCCACATTGGATGTGAAGCCTACTTAAAATAAAATTTAAAATTTCAAAAAAAAAATTCAGTTCTATTATTTCATCAGCCTTGAAACATCGTTACAAATTCTGTTAGCACTTCCATCTAGTGGCGAAAAGGGGTAACTGCAAACTTGCCAGTAAAAACAAAAGTGTTTTAGAGCTTTGTGGTCAGCATCGAGGTGGGAATCTCAAACTGGCCTCTTTTTACTCCTCTGTCTCCGCTCTCTCATTCATAATTGTAAAAATCAAATGATCCCCTGAAGACATCAGTGCCATCACAGGTCCTACCAAAAACTGATTCAGTATGAAAACAAAAACCTAAATGGTCCTACAACTATTTTTAAAAAAATTGAATCAAGATGCATATTAATTACAAAGAGAAAAAACAGTTAAAGTTTATAATGGGGAAATCTGGTAAACATTGGTAAACACTGCCTGAATCAAGTGATCAAAGTTAATATCACTAGCAGTGTGCTAAACAGATTTGATGTGCCTCCAATGTGATATACTAAGAAGACACAATGTGGCATTCTGCCAAAAACACAGTCTGACAGTATGTATCAGAAAACTGCAAACATCAGGGCGCCTGGGTGGCTCAGATGGTTAAGCGTCTGCCTTCGGCTCAGGTCATGATCCCCGGGTCCTGGGATCAAGTCCCGCATCGGGCTCCCTGCTCCTTGGGAGCCTGCTTCTCCCTCTCTCTGTCTCTCATGAATAAATAAATAAAATCTTTAAAAAAAAAAATAAAAAAAGAAAACTGCAAACATCAGACAAACTGAAGGACATTCCAGAAACAACTCAACTGTACTCTTCAAAAAATAACAAGGTCATAAAAGATAAAGACTGAAGACTTGTTCCAGATCAAAGGAGAGTAAAGAAAAATAGCAACTAAGTAGTATGTATGGACCAGGGAGGAAAAAAAAAGTTTTCTTCCTCCTTTTCTATATGGACAATTGGTGCAATTTGAAAGAAATAAAAATTAGATAACAGTATAGCATCGATATTAATTTTCTGGTTTAGGTACTTGTACTGAGGTCATATAAGAGAATATTCTTGTTTTTAGGAAATACCCACTGAAGTATTTAGGTATAAAGGGGTTTGTCTACAACTTACTTTCAAATGGTTCAGAAAAAAATATATTACTTTTTAAAAGATTTTTATTAAGTAATCTCTACACCCAATATGGGGCTCAAACTCATAAGCCAGAGATCAAGAGACCCATGCTCCACCAACTGAACCAGCCAGGCACCCCCCCAAAAATGTATATATACAGAAAAATCTAAGTCCCACAAAGATAGTTTGGACAAGAGCAAGGAAAATTATAAGCAACTCAGGAGTAAATATAACAGAAGATGTATAAAACCTTTATGGAGAAAATGATAAAATTTAAAATAGAAGAGCCAAGGGGCAAAGATACTCAATAAAAGAATAGGATGCAAACAACTGTACTACCAACTATGAAGACTTATTATAAAGTAATAATAATTAAGAAAGTGTGGAATAGGGGCGCCTGGGTGAGTCGGTGGTTGGGCATCTGACTCATGATTTCGGCTTGGAGGGTGATCTTGGGGTCATGGGATTGAGCCCCGAGTCGGGCTCCCCGCTCAGCATGGAGTCTGCTTAGGATTCTCTGTCTCCCTCTCCCTCTGTCCCTCCCCTGCTCCTGTGCTCACTCTCTCTCTCTCTCTCTCTCTCAAATAAATAGATAGTGTCTGACTTTTGGTTTTGGCTCAGGTCATGATTTAAGGGTCCTGAGATGGAGCCAAGCATCGGACTCCATACTCAGCAGGGAACCTGCTTCTCTCCTCCCTCTGGCCCTCTCCCTGCTCATGTGCTCTCTCTCTCTCTAATAAAGAAATCTTTAAAAGAACAAAAATTTTTAAAAATAAATAAATAAATAAATAGGGGTGCCTGGGTGGCTTAGTCAGGTAGACATCTGACTCTTGGTTTCAGTTTCGGTCATGATCTCATGGGTCGTGGGATCAAGCCCTGTGTCAGGTTCTGCTCTCAGCAAGGGGTTGGCTTGGGGATTCTCTCTGCCCTTCCCTCCACTGTCTCTCTCTCTCCAAAATAAATAAATAAATCTTTTATAAAACACAAAACATAAAAATAAATAAAATCTTAAAAAAGGTGAAAGGCCAAATTTTTTTAATTAATTAATTTTTTTTTTTAAGATTTTATTTATTTATTCATGAGAGACAGGGAGAGAGAGAGAGAGAGAAGCAGAGGGAGAAGCAGGCTTCCCGTGGAGCAGGGAGCCCGATGTGGGGCTCGGTCCCAGGACCCTGGGATCACGCCCTGAGCCGAAGGCAGACGTTCAACGACTGAGCCACCCAGGCGCCCCTTTTTTTTTAATTTAAAATTTTTAAAATTTATTTATTTAAGTTACACCCAACGTGGGGCTTGAACTCACAACCATGAGATCAAGAGCTGCATGCTCTAGCAACTGAGCCACCCAGGCACCCCTGAAAGGCCAAAAAAAAATTTTTTGGAAGATGTATTTATTTTAGAGAGAGAGAGAGAGAGAGCGCACGAGTGGGAGGGGCAGAAGGAAAGAGACTCTCAAGCCAACTCAGTGCCGAGCAAGGAGCCCCACGTGGGGCTTGATCCCATGACCCTGAGATCAGGGCCTGAACCGAAATCCAAGAATCAGACACCTAACTGATTGTGCCACCCAGACACCTCTGAAAGGCTAAATTTTCAAATACAAAGACTTGGAAAACGGGATGCCTTGATCTCAGGGTTGTGAGTTCAAGCCCCATGTTGGGAGTGGAGCCTACTTTAAAAAATAAATATAAAGACTTGCAAATGACTGAATAGATCCTTTTTAGATCAGCCTTGCTGACGAAAACAACTATTAAGTCTGGACCACTTCCTACAGGTACTGGCAGGCAACCAAAAGCAGACAGACGTGAGCTTTTTCCAAGTTAACACTTCGAAAAAAGCCTTGGGCAATATGCCAGTTCTTTTATGGCCTTTATCATGAGGCCCCAAGGCAGCAAAACTACAGAGAAACTACCCATCTTAGTCGAAGAACCAGAATACTTCATCAGAATTTAAAATTTGGGGGCGCCTGGGTGGCTCTGTTGTTAAGTGTCTGCCTTCAGCTCAGGTCATGATCCCAGGGTCCTGGGAAGAGCCCCACATCAGGCTCCCTGCTTGGCAGGAAGCCTGCTTCTACCTCTCCCATTCCCCCTGCTTGTGTTCCCTCTCTCGCTGTGTCTCTCTGTGTCAAATAAATAAATAAAATCTTAAAAAAAAAAAAAGAATTTAAAATTTGTTTCTCAAAAGGCACCATTAAAAAAAATGAATTGGCAAGTTCGAGATGGGAAAAAAATCTTCACAATACATATATTATATATATATATATATATATAGTTACTACATACAGTATTATATATGTATATATAGTTATATATATAATTACTCAAATCAACAATTAAAAGGCAAACAACATTTTTTAATGTTGAAAGAACTCTTCACAAAAGATAATATCAATAACAAAGTACAGGAAAAGGTATTCAACGTACCTTGAAGAACATCAGTAAAAACCAAAAAACCCCAAAACACCACTTGACACTCATTAGGTTAATCTAAAAAACCAAATGTTGATGAGGCTATGGGACAGGAAATCTCCCACAGCGCTTACAGAGCATAAAATGGTACAATATGGGAGAGGTCTGGGAGTTTCTAACAAAGTAAACATGCATCTACTTTATGACCTGGCACTTTTAGGCATTTTACCTAAAAGAAATGAAGACATGTTCCACAAAAATCATGTACAGTGATGTGTACAGCAACCTCATTTGTAGTAGTCAAAAAGTGAAAACAACCCAAATTCTATCAAAGGGAAAAAGGATATGGGCGCCTGGGTGGCTCAGTTGGTTAAGCAACTGCCTTCGGCTCAGGTCATGATCCTGGAGTCCTGGAATCGAGTCCCACATCGGGCTTCCTGCTCAGCAGGGAGTGTGCTTCTCTCTCTGACCCTCTTCCCTCTCGTGCTTTCTATCTCTCATTCTCTCTCTCTCTCAAATAAAAAAATAAAATCTTAAAAAAAAAAAAAAAGGGAAAAAGGATAAACAAATCACAACTTACCCATACAATGGAATACTAACTCAGCAATAAGCAAGGATCAAAAGGTGATGCATGCAACGTGAAGGAATCTCACAATCATATTGTGTGAATAAAAGCAAGACACAAAAGAGTATCTACGATATGATTCTACTTATAACAAATCTAAGAATAGACAAAGCTAATCTTAGTTTATAAAACTCAGAAGGTGATGAGGGAGAAGTAGGCATTGACTGAGACTTTTCCAAGAAAATGAAGACATTCCATATCCTGACTTGGGTAGTGGTTACGTGGATGTATACTCCTGCCAAAATTCACTGAACCAGGGCACCTGACTGGCTCAGTCAGTGGAGTGTGCGACTCTTGATCTTGGGGTTGTGAGTTTGAGCCCCATGTTAGGTGTAGAGATTACTTAAAATAAACAAACAACAAACTTTAAAAAAATTCACTGAACTGTACATTTAAGATCAGTACAACTTACTATACATGAATTTTTCCTTTGAAAGAAAGAAAAGTAGGGGCGCCTGTTTGGCTCAGTTGGTGAAGCATGTGGCTCTTGATATCGGGGTCGTGAGTTCAAGCCCCACATTGGGTGTAGATGTTACTTAAGAAAAGTAAAATATTTTATTTATTTTTTTTTTTTTTTTTTTTTTTTTTAAAGATTTTATTTATTTATTTGAGAGAGAGAGAATGAGAGAGAGAGAGCACGAGAGGGAAGAGGGTCAGAGGGAGAAGCAGACTCCCCGCTGAGCAGGGAGCCTGATGTGGGACTCGATCCCGGGACTCCAGGATCATGACCTGAGCCAAAGGCAGTCGCTTAACCAACTGAGCCACCCAGGCGCCCGAAAAGTAAAATATTTTAAAAAAAGAAAGAAAGAAAATAGAGGTTGACGTGGAAGAACCATTCAGTACATATTAATATCCTTTTCTACTCCATGTTCCAGAAATACAATGTGGTAAAAAATGGAAGCCAGCATAACTTCACTTTTCAAAAATTGATTCCAAAAATATGGGTCAGCCACCCGCATATCCTAATTATAAAATAGTTCAATTAATATAAATGATGAAACTTGCCTGGTATTGGCTACCTCATGATTTAAAAAAAAAAGTTAAAATGGAGTTGGCCTTTTATTTATTTTTTCAATAGTGTGATAGAATAGTAAGAGCATTAAATTAGCAGCTAGAGGGACACCTGGGTGGCTCAGTTCGTTAAGCATCTGGCTTTGGCTCAGGTCATGATCTGGGGGTCCTGGGACTGAGCCCCAAGTTGGGCTTCCCGCTCAGCAGAGAGTCTGCTTCTCCCTCTCCCCCTCCACCCCACTTGTGCTCTGTCTCTGTCTCTCTCAAATACATAAAATCTTTTTTAAAAATTTCGCAGCTAGAAAACCTGGTTTTCTAGTGCTGGCTCTACTATTTAACAGCTTTGTGATTTTTTTTTTTTTAAGATTTATTTATTCTTTTGAGAGAGAGAGAGTGTGCACGTGCAAGCAGGAGGAAGGGGCAGAGGGAGAAGGAGACGAAGCACACTCTGTGCTGAGTGCAGAGGCCAACGAGGAGCTCTATCTGACAACCCATGAGATCATGACCTAACCTGAAACCAAGAGTCGTTCACTTAACTGACTGCCACCCAGGCGCCCCAAGCTTTGTGATTTTTTGTATATCAGTATACCTCTCTGAGCTTCAAGTTCCTTTACACTTATAAAAATGTAGGTAATGATTCTTTCCTTAAAGACTACTGGGAGATCAAATTAAATACACACACACACACACACATATATGAATATGAGTACACTGTAATGGGGAAGTATACTATCACAAAGCAATGGTTGCTTAAATAGTCTTTGCTAACTATTGAATATATGAATACATACCGTCCATTCCACATTTGGGCGAGCAAGTGGAATAAATCTTCCATCAAACATATGAGAAAATGGCCCATGACCTTAAAAACAAAAGCAGCCTTAGAACAAGGAAATTGCTTGTAAACTGGTAAAATGTAAATCTATTTTTTTATCTTTTTAGCTTAACTTGAAAATGAACAGAAATTAATAATCTGTAAGTACATCACAAAAAGGGACAAACAAATCCTTCCTTTCTATTTTCTAAAACGAGAGATTAGGAAATAAAATCATATAGGAAAGTCAGGTGTCCATGGAGGGGTCTCTGAGTTATCAGAGCTTACATAAATCTGATGAAAGGATAGTTTTGTGTTAACTAAAAGGAATGTTAAGGAAAAACCTTCGGCATGCTCAGATTGAATATATTAGAATAGCCATTTTAAGACAATCCATTGGGGTGCAGGAAGAAAATAATATAACTTTATTTTTCTACTCTCATCCTTTAAAAACATCTTTTTTAATGTAAATTTTATAATGTACATAATGTATTTTATAGTAAATATACACACTTGGATTTTTACTGCTGATGTGGGCAACCAAAAGTGGAGATCACTAGTTTATCTTATTCATAAGTGATTTTTAAATTCCACTCATTTAATAATATGAAACTTTGTTGACATGCAACTCTATAATTATCAGAATTTCTGAAATGAGTTAGTTGGCTGAAGACGGACTCCACCTGGACCAGCCCTGGACCTTTCTGCAAATCGCAGTCTATACAAAAAGGCTCATTAGTGCAGTGTTCAGACTCCTACTAGAGACTGGCAAAGGTTTCCCAATGATACCCTCTAAAATACCTAGAATCTGTTAAATTTATCATCTAGGAGTGATATTGGTCTACTGACATCTCCAAGGGGACAAGCTAAAGAGAGTGCCCTACCCCTTTAAGAATCTGGCTAGGGGCGCCTGGGTGGCTTAGTCGTTAAGTGTCTGCCTCTGGCTCAGGTCATGATCCCAGGGTCCTGGGATTGAGCCCCACATCGGGCTCCCTGTTCAGCTGGGAGCCTGCTTCTCCCTCTCCCACTCCCCCTGCTTGTGTTCCTGCTCTCGCTGTCTCTCTGTCAAAAAAAAAAAAAAAAAAGAATCTGGCTATCTTGAAACACAGATACCTCCCTTTCTCTGCCCTGAGGGCACACACAAACTCTTAGCCTCCTCCAATAGGTAGGAATAAACTACAAAGAGATGGGGGTAAAAACTCCTATAACAAAGAGGACAATCTCTTTTCTCTTTCTTTGTCAAAGAAGGATGATACTCTTCTACTTGGATTTAAGTGGTCCAAGACCTCACATGGGTCAGGGAAGAAAAGGAGTTCTCTAAATCTGTTGTTAATCTGTTAGGGCAGATTATGTATTCTGGGTATGAGAAGAATGGATTTGATAAAGTAACTGAAAGAAAAATGGCACTTTTTCAACAAGAAGAATAAAACAAAGATAAAACTCACATCCTCCTAAACACAGTAGTCAAAAAAATTTCACTATCAGAAAGTCCTTTCATATAACTTGTAGCAAAGATGTGTAACATGGGAAATACATTGAAAGACTACAAAAAAAAAAAAAGCAATGCTTTGGGCTTATGAATCACGCTAGGAAGCAATGGCACATTTAGATTAACGTTAACTGCAGAATTAAAACACAATTTTCATATATCTTTTGGTTAATTGGATCAATTTCAAAGAGAGATAACACATTATGGTTTTACATGAACAACTTTGGTTCTTTGTACAGCATACCGAGATCATGACAAAGGCCAGCAATCTGAACACAGAGCACATCTCGTGCACTTATCTGCAGCTCTGGTTGTTTCTCACGTAGTGCACGAACCAGACATCCTGCTAGATACCCTACACTGCAGAGTAAGCAAAACAAAAAACAACAGAAAGTCACTCTTCCATTTGAAAGACGATACTTCCAGACCTCAAGAACTTTAACATGTTTCTCAAATGTTCTAATACATGTCTACAACAAGTGAACAGAGTAGTCAAGTAGTCTGTTTCAGAACTAGGCAGAAACACACAAAGAGAATCCCCAAAGCAGGACCACAATCAGTAATCATTAGGGAAATGTAACATCAAAATCGCAATGAGATACCACTCTCACAGGCCTTAGAAAGGCTATTATAAAACAAAACAAAACCCAAAAAACAAAACAACAAATGTCGGCTAGAACGTGGAGAAATTAGAACCCTTATGCACTGTTGTTGGGAGTGTATAATGGTACAGCCACTACGAAAAACAATATGGTAGCTCCTCAAAAAATTAAAAATAAAATTACCATATGATCCAGCAGTTCCACTCTGGGTATACACCCAAAACACTAAAAGCAAGGTCTCAAAGAGATATATGCACACCCATGTTCATAGCAACACTATTCACAATAGCCAGAGGTGGAAGCAACCCAAGCGTCCACTCACAAATAAAGGGATAAACAAAATATGGTATAAGCATATAATTATTACTCAGTCTTAAAAAAGAATTTCTCACACATGCTCCAACATAGATGAACTTTGAGAAAATTATGCTAAGTGAACTGAGCCAGTCACAAAAAGACAAATACTATAGAACATTACTTATATGAGGTACCTAGAATACTTAAATTCATAGAAACCAAAAGCAGAATGGTGATGACCAGACGCTAGAGGGAGAGGAGAATGGGGAATTGTTATTTAATGTGTACAGAGTTTCAGTTTTGCAAGATGAAAAGGTTCTGGAGTTTGGTTGCACAATAATATGGATATATTTAACACTACTGAACTGTGCACTTAAAAATGGTTTAGATGGTAAATTTTATATTCTGTGTATTTTACGACAAATCTTTTTTTTTTTTTCCAAAGAAGCAGGACTTCTGGCTTTGTAATGTTGACAACACAGATAGAGGATAAAGTGCCTGACAAATGTTAAAAGCACTTTTAGCGGGCGCCTGGGTGGCTCAGTTGGTTAAGCGACTGCCTTCGGCTCAGGTCATGATCCTGGAGGCCCGGGATCGAGTCCCGCATCGGGCTCCCTGCT